ATATACTTGATGAAAGACAAGTCTGAAGTACCAGAGATATTTATTCGGTTTCATCACATGGTTGAGACTCAGTTTGGTAAGGGTATTAAAAGACTCAGATCTGATAATGGTACTGAGTACGTCAATCAACGCCTGTCACAATTCATTTCAGACAGAGGTATGATTCATGAGCTCACATGTGTTGATACCCCTCAACAAAACGGGGATGCTGAAAGGAAAAATTGTCACCTTCTTGAAGTTGCTAGAGCACTACTTTTTCAGACATCTGTTCCTAGTTCTTATTGGGGAGAAGCAGTATTAGCTGCAACTTTTTTGATCAATCGTTTACCTTCACGAGTCCTTAACAATATCCGTCCTATTCATTCCATGACTTCCTTCTTTCCTTCTGTTCCCATATTGCAGAGGAGATGAATGCTTTGGAGAAAAATAAAACATGGGAGGTTATTGATAGACCCAACGGAAAGAAAGCAGTAGGGTGCAGATGAGTTTATGCCCTGAAATATAATTCTGATGGCACTCTTGAGAGATATAAGGCTCGATTAGTGGCCAAAGGTTACACTCAAACCTATGGCATTGATTATGAAGAAACCTTTGCTCCAGTTGCAAAGATGAATACAGTGAGAATCTTGTTATCCCTTGCTGCCCATTACAATTGGGATATAAATCAATTTGATGTGAAAAATGCTTTCCTCAATGGTGAGTTAGAAGAAGAAGTCTACATGGAAATCCCGCCTGGTTTTGATTCTGTGAAGGGGAAAATAAAGTTTGTAGATTAAAAAAGGCCTTGTATGGATTGAAGCAGTCACCTCATGCTTGTTTGGAAGATTTACTAAGGTTATGATGACCTTAGGATACAGACAGAGCCAATGAGATCACACTCTTTTCTTCAAGCACTCCCAAAATGGGAAGCTTACTGTGCTCCTTGTATATGTTGATGATATTATTATCACAGGTGATGATTTTGTGGAGAGACAGATTCTGCAAACACGGCTTGCCTCTGAGTTTGAAATCAAAGACCTTGGGAAACTGAGATATTTCCTAGGGATAGAAGTAGCTCATTCAAGCAAATGAATTTTTATCAGCCAGAGGAAATATGTTCTTGATCTTCTCAAAGAAGCAGGAAAGCTCGGGTGTAAACCCTCTAATACTCCTATTGAGCAGAATCACAAGATGGGCTATGAAGAAGAGAGTCCTCCAGTTGATAAAGGACAATATCAACGGCTAGTTGGGAAATTGATATATCTGGCCCATACTAGACCAGACCTAGCTTATGTTGTTAGTGTTGTCAGTCAGTTTATGCACGATCCAAAAGAAAAACACATGCAGGCAGTAGAGAGAATTCTTCAGTATCTTAAAGGTACTCCTGGTAAAGGATTGTTATTCCGACGTGATGGCAATCTATCTTTAGAAGTCTACACAGATGCTGATTATGCTGGATCCGTGACTGACTGTCGTTCTACCACTGGTTATTGCATGTTTCTTTGCGGTAACTTGGTGACATGGAGAAGTAAGAAACAAGATGTGGTTGCCAGATCAAGTGCAGAAGCTGAATTTCGAGCTATGGCTCAAGGCATTTGTGAGTTACTGTGGCTGAAAATTGTTCTTGATGATCTCAAAATAAAATGTGAGGGACCTATGAAGCTGCTATGTGATAATAAGTCCGCTATTTGTATAGCTCATAATCCAGTTCAACATGATCGGACTAAACATATTGAGGTTGACCGCCATTTCATCAAAGAGAAACTTGATAGCGGGTTGATTACCACTCCATACATTCCCACTGGGCGTCAATTGGCTGATCTATTAACAAAGAGGCTTCCTTCAGACAGATTTCAAGAACTTACTAGCAAGCTGAGAATGATAAATATCTATTCCTCAGCTTGAGGGGGAGTGTTGTAAATAATATTGATTTAGTTATTATTTAGTTTTTATTTAGTCATTTATTGTTGTATTGGGCCAAGCCCATTAGGTTAAAAGTAGGTCAAATATTCTCTATAAATAGAGAACCCTTTGTACAGATTATTTACAATTCTATAATATATTAGAATACCTTTTTTCAAGTTTTAATTTACGAATATAATAACCGTTAATTGATGAAAATCATACGGTGTTAAAATATAATTGTAAGAAGTTGTAAAAAAAATGATAAGTATAACTTTCATCTTAAAATATTATCTGATTAATACGGTCAAAGAATAATGCGGTCAAAGGAAAGAGAGGACTTTGACGTTGAGAGGCGAGGGTTGGTGGGTCCTACAAAAGGAACCCAATTACGTTCATGAACTCCCCATTTTTGTATTTACTTGATGATCCCGTACAATGCGACTACTTTTTCTTCTGTTCTGTCACCATATGGTCACTGTACTTATACATTTTAATGGTGGAGATCTTTAGAGAGAAAGAAAAACCTTTAATAAAAATTGTAAGAATTTGTCTGAAACATCTTGATAACGTCATAGGAATTAGGGGTGTTAACGGACCGAGTCGAGCTTTGATCTTAACGGGCTAAGCCTGTATTTAAACGTGTTCGACTGGTCTTAGCCTGTTACCTTTTACGAATATAATATTGGCCTGTGGCCTGGTTTATTTACAAAAAATAAAAGCCTGTGTGAAGCCTGTCTTAGCCTGTTAGCATGTTAAAGAATAAAAATAAGAGAACAGAATCCACAAAAAATCAATTTCCAGATAGAAACCTTAGCTTCCAATTTCCAGCAATAATTTACAAAGTCTACAATAAATAAAAAAATTAAAGTGAGAGAAGGTAGATAACAGGTTATATTATCTTAGCCCATTATAAAAAAAGTGCCAACAAAAATAAAAATAAAATAAAAAATAAATTGACACAAACGAGCAGTGCACAGTGGAACGAATGAGTTTTTGTGGGTTTGTTTGTGTGAAGGAGGATGAAGGATAATATAGAACAACACTAGTAATTCCATAAATATACATAAATTCAATATATATGCAAATAGCATAATATAGAATAAAATCATTCAAAAAGTCTGTTAAACCAATAAAATGGGGTGAAATAAATTGATAAGAGAGAGTTATTACAAGTAGTATAAAAAGTATAAATAAATATTTATATACTAGGCTAGCCTGGGAGGCTCTAAGGCCGAGCTTCTGAATTAGAGTCTGAGGCCTTTTTATTAAACGAGCTTTTATATAAGTCCAAGTCTGATTCCAACACGAGCTTTTATTAAACGAGCTCAAGCCTTTACGAGCCGAGGCAAAGGCTCTGACTTGTTTAACACCCCTAATAAGAATAATAGGCAACGAAAATAATGATTTCTGATGTTCTTAGGAGATTAAAAATGGTTCAACGTTCATAATAACCATAGTATATAACTTGAATAAATAAAACCCTGAATGTTTTGGCGTTATCTATTTTATAGTATTATAATGGAGATTTTCTCATTTTATTGTATTTTGAAATTACTATTAATTAAAAATAAATATAAAAAATGTAAAACTATAATTTTCTTATTTTAGAGTTATAACTATATTATAAAATATTCTTCTATTTCTTTACCGTAAGTGTAATTTTTCTTTTTCTTTTTTAAAATGTTTGCAGTTATAAAAGACTCATTATTATTACTTATTTTTAAATTTAATCTTAATTTAAAAAATACATATTGAAGGGCATGTAATGCTCAACAGAATGCTAACTTGCATTATTTGCACCACCAGCACAGGGTACTTGTCTTATTTTAAAAAAAAAAAATCTAGTTTTAAAATAAAATGTTTGCACCACCAGCTTAAGTAAAAAAAATGTTTGCACCACCGGCTTAAGTAAAAAAAAATTACTTTATTTTTTTAAATAAAAGCCACTAAATTAAACAAGGAAATCATAACTTACATTATAATATGGAAAGCATATCTAAAATTGCTTTATATATATGTTAAGTAGCACGATTTAACATTCTTTAATATTTAAATTTTGAATATTTTTTATAACGTGGAAATCATACCTAATTTTCTAGTTTTGGTAAGAAAAATAAATCGATAAAATTAAGTGATTATAGATCACAATATAAATTCGGGGGTTCTCTTAGAATTTTTTATTATATGAATTTTATTAATTAATTATATTTTAGTATTTAAAAATATTGGGGTTAATAATATTTCAATGGAATTAATTATTTAATTAAGCCTGTTGTAATTATGTTGTGTTTTTGGGCAAATGGCATTAATGAGACCCTGATTTTCATTATTGGTGAACCTAGTAGATATGGACTCTTTCTGATTAAGGTTTTTAACTATGTCTCCTCTCTACTTTAACCCATTCAACATGGGATTTGACTTTGTGTAATGTCCGCGCTCTCATTACAAAGGATGCCAAGAACAATAAGCAATAATAGAGATGAAGACTCTAGCACAGTTTCCCCATTTCCTTTGGTTCTATAATTAATGGTCCAACAAGATATACATACTTACACTTTTGATTCTATTATTATTTGGATATTTTATAGTTATATACATGATTTAGAAGAACCAACTACTTTTTATCTTAATGGTCATAACTGATTTTATTTTTCCCGAATCGGTAACAGTTGAAAATCAGTTTAGGTATACAAATTATAATGGTCATAACCTTCCAGCTCTCTTCCCTTTTCCTATCTTTCTAATGCCAAAGTATAGGAGCCACTGAAACGCCTTATGTCGACCCTGTTTATTACGTATTATGGAATTTGAGACATGCATGGCTAGAAATAATGAAATCTAAAAATTTAAACTCACCAAATAATGTAATACTTTTACTAATAATTAATTACAAAAGTTAAATTTGGAGAGCATTCTTAAATTACAAATACAGCCTCCATAACTGTTGAATCATCGAAACGACCGATGTCTTTAAACTCTCAAATAAGAAAAATTATTTTTTTTGTTTTGCTTTTTTAAGGTATCCTTCATGAACTAGACGTTTAATTCATGCATGACCTTTCGTTGATCTTATTGGGGGAAAGATCATTAATTAATTATTATACATAAATAGATCTTTCCAAACATACATACACACACAAACACACGAAAGATTAGCTGAGTAAAATACAACACGGAGTGGACATGAGGTGCATGTTCCTAATCCTAATAGGTTTCTTCATCTCCACGGAGTGGAACATGAGATCGGTCAATAAAGAAAGTCTCGTAGATGAAACCTGCAAGGCCACCACCAATGAGAGGCCCAACCCAATAAACCCAGTGATCAGTCCAATTGCCACTAACCAAGGCTGGACCAAAAGATCTCGCTGGGTTCATAGAAGCAGCTGAGAATGCCCCACCAGCAAGGATGTTTGCCCCAACTACAAACCCAACCAGCGTTGGTCCAATCCCAGCAAGTGCTCCCTTCTTGGGATCAACCATTGTACCATACACAGCGAACAACAAAGAGAATGTCAACACAATCTCCCAAATTACTCCTTGACCATACCCCACTCCACTAGCCAGCGTGTGAACTGGAATTGCCTGCATATGTTGTGCACAAAGCACAATTAAAATATATTCTACATTTTTTTCTTTTCTAATTATTAATAATAAATCATGTTACAGTTTATAATTTTTTTTATTTACAACTCTTACAATATTAATTATATATTACGGGCGGTACATATATTTGAAAATGTACTATAATTAAAGTTATAAGAGTTATAAAGTGAAAAAGTTGTAAAGAGTAACTCTTCTTCCCGTTAATAATATGAAATATACTTAGAAAGCAAAATTTTGATGAATTAGTTTCTCTTTGGAAAAAAAATGTGTGGATAATTTATTACCAGTCCCCCTGAGAGGTAGTAAAGCAGATAAGAAGCAGCTGCAGATGCTACCAATTGATCAATCCAATAGAGGATGGAACGGAAGACGGTGATATGACCGCCGGCGAGGAGGCCAAGGGTGACGGCGGGGTTGAGGTGGCCACCGGAAATGTGGGCGGCGGAAATCATTACAGCCACCACAAGTGCATGTGCCACGGCCACAGCAAACAAGCCCACTAGTGCATCTCCTCCACCTAGCTTGTCTTTTAGTAACAAAAAAATAAAAAATAGAACGTGAACCAAAAGTCCAAAACCATGGTAATTAAGTCGTAATTCTTAATTCTAAAAGTTACATAAAAAAACAATTTGAAGAAGTACCAACGGCCATGGCAGAACCCACGCCAACAAAGACAAAGAGAAAGGTGGCAATGAATTCAACGACGAGGGCCTGAATGCAGTCTGGCTTGGTGGCCTCTAGGGTGGTTCCGAGAGCAATTTTGGCCATGGCAGCTGCTTAATTATAATAATTGTTTACCTTCGCTTCTCAACGGCGGAATATCAATGATCACTTAATTCCCACACGCACTGATCACAACATCACAAATGATAGAACGATAAACGACGTAGCCAATTATATATTCAAACAAAAGCATATTATTAATTATTGCGTCCAACAACCCTTTACAACTCACGAATGCAAATGGACAACGGGGCATGTTGCAATGCTACTGCACTACCTAGGGCACTGTTTATTTTCCGCAGTTGACTTATATTATTATTATTATTATTATTATCAACTAGGTGATAGTTCGTTATAAATTCAAATATTATTAAATAAGACTCCTTATGTTAGTATCATGTTTTCAAAACATTATTATTGCTATTTTTTGACAAATATAAAAAGATTTATAAAATTACAAGCATTTCTTTTCTTTTTGTTTGGAGATAGTATTCCTTAATTACTCTATACTTCAATTTCTCAAACCCTCACAACATTTTCTTCTTTTTTTTTTTTAATTTCTCTACTAGGTAAGATCACATGGGCGACAAAATTTTCCGTATCAAGTTTTTAATACATTCGCAGACCCATAAATTGATTCATTGATTAACCGACTAATTTAGTCGAGTCAAGCAAGACCATATGGACGTGAAAGCTTCCTTACAAATTTTTTAAAACAATTGCATATTCAGGACTCGAAGTCAAGATCAATGATTGAGCTAAAATAACTATATCAATTAATCCATGTGCTTGGTGATAAACCCTTTAAACTTCAAATTCTACATTTGGAGGGGGGGGGGGGGGGGGAGAGATTGGATGAAAGTCTAGAGTTACAATTACGATTGACTCTAAGTGCCTTTTTGAATCTTTTTTTAGCTTCTCTTATAATTAGAAGCAGAAGTTAGGCTTAATTTTTTTTTAGAAAAACTCTTATAATAAAAGAGCTTTTTTATAATAAAAAAAAGTTAAAAGTCAAAGGCTCCTAGGAAGTATTTTTTTAAATTGTATCAACTTTTTTAAATGAACAGTTTTTAAATAATTTTTAAACTAAAATTTTTATATAATCATCAAATAACTTTTAGCTTTATTTTTAAAACTAAAAGTAACTTTTAACTTAAAAAAAAAATTGCCATATAGCATATAGGCTCTAACTAGGAGTTTAATTTTAAAATATTTATTTAGTTAGTTATTTTTTTATTTACTTATTTCTTGTATATTTACTTAATCCAAAATAGATCGTCACTTATATATTAAATTAGAATATATTTATGAAATGACTTAATATTTTAATTTATTTTCCCTAAAAAAATGACACATGTTTTTTAAATCTGTTTATTTAATTTTAAACTTCAATTCATCATGTTTATATTCTACATAATTTTAATTTTTTTGTTTTTGTTTTTAAAATCTTATTTAATTTTAATATATTTGAAAATTTTAAATTAGTTATGCATATTTATTTTATAATTTAAATAATTCTTTTAAATATTTATTGTAATTTATTTAAAAAAAATAGCTGAATTTAAAAATTCCTGTGAAATGTAAGGGTTACTTGGTAGACGGTAGTGGAAACATCGTTTTCAGAAACACATCAGATCGCATCCGCATTCCATCAATTCAGCTTTATCAACATTAATTATTCTATTTTGTCCAGTGCCATAAAAGCCTCATACTTTTTTTCATTATTATTTAGAAATCACGAAATACCTTTACATGTAAGGATTGAATTCGTGTTTTGTAGTATATAGATATATTTCCTAAACAAAAAGGTAATGCTTTGTTTCTCTTTACTATGTCTTCCATGGGCTGATCCTTTATTGTCTGATGGTTATTATATATCTGTGGGCCAAATGTGAATACTTGAGGTCCATTGTAGTTTTTTCCTACTCAGCTGAAGTTGGACCTTTGTACATTAAGCAACACATCCAAAACGTCAGCGTTTTGGTGTGATGGCTTAATGTTATATTTGCTCCCTTTTGCTGTGAGCAGTGATCAACACATTCTGATATTTTTGATATACTCTCTCGAAAGGAAAATGCTCTCTGTTAGGGTTTGTAAGCTTGAGTGTTTTGTGCAAACACTGAGTGAAACATTGTGAATCTGGCTATGATGCTTTGGAGAATCTTGTTCATCTCAACAAGAAGATTTTATTAATCGGTGGACTTTTCTGATTGTTGTTCAAAACGGTGGAGAGGCTAATCTACAAGGAAGAACGGTGAAGCTCGTGGTGACTAGCTTGGAAAGGAACAACGCTTCCTTTGCTGTCTTGTGAAGATTAGGAAGTTCTCTCCATCTCTTTTGTATTTCTATCTTACCGATTCTGTTTCTTGAGTTTCAACTCAAGAATCTTTGTCTTCTTGTTAATTTCTTGTAAATCAGTTTCTTCATGTGCTTGATTTTGTAAAGTTGTTGTTGTATGCTGAAAACTCTGGTTCTTTCTTTCTGATCTTGAATAAAGTGCACATCAGAGGGCGTTTAACCCTCTTTAGGCCCAAGGACGTAGGAAACTCACTTATACTGAGTTTCTGAACCTGTAAAATACTGGTGTCTTCTCTCCTTATGCTTTCTTTAATCTTTCTTGTTATGCTCTACTTGTTATTGTTTGCAAAAAGTATTCCCAAAATTACAACACCTTTCATAAGGTGAACCCACTTATTCAGGTCAGGCCGGGTTTGAATTCAGTACTCAAAAACAGGTTTTTGATTTTCAGAATAAAAAAAAATTGTTTGATAATGTATTTTTTATAAAAATAATTTTAAAAATTGAGGGAGGTTATAGTTAGGGGTGTAAATGGGCCAAGCCAGCCTACAGGGGCCTATGGCCTGGCCTACGAAAAGCCTGGCCTGCGAGGTAAGCAGCGTAGGTTAAGGCTTGTAGATGAGCCTGTTTTGAAACAAGGCCGTAGGCTAAACATAAAATGCCTGGCCTTTTAGCCTGTAGGCCGGCCTGCTTAATATTTAAATAAAAAAAATATTTTATATATTTATTTATTTATTCTAAAAGTTAGATAACCTAATTGCTTTTGTTTTAGTATGCCAAGAAAAATTCAATCTTTGTTGTCATGAATTTTTATAATATGTGTTCTTGTTAAAAAATCTGTTGTAGAATTTTAATAATTTGGACACATGCTAGAAATATTGTTTAATGAATAAGATATTTCATTTTTTTTTTAAAATTTAATATGCAATATGGTAGGCCTAAAAGGCCTCACAGGCCATGTAGGCTTTTTATTTTTTAATAACAGGGCAGGCTTGGCCTTTAAACTAAGCCTTTGATAGGCTCATAGGCCAGATAGGCTCAACATTTTTGTGTGTAGGCCTAGGCCAGGAAGGCCAAAGCCTGCCCTGCCCTGGCCTATTTACACTATAACTTATAGTTATTATCTCTTACTACTAAATCTTAACCGTTGATTTTCGTCACTCTTACGGTTGTAATTTATTGGGTCATACTTATTAATTAATTATTAATTTCCAATAAATTATGATCATTAGATTGGCAGAAATAAACGGTTAAAATTTGATAGTAAGAAGAAAAAGAGGTAGTAACTATAACTTCTCTCTTAAAAATTATAACTATTTTTTAATTTTAAAAATATATCTGACTTGTTTTTATTTTGTTTTATATTTTAGGAAAAATATTTGTCATTTTTTTTTGGTAAACAAATATTTGTCATTTTAAATGACACAAAGCTATGTCATTTTAAATAAAATTATGTCATTTTGGTGTGTTTTTACATTCTTTTCCATCCATTTTCTTTCTATAAAAATGATGTAGTTTCATGAAAAATGATATAATTTTGTGTCATTTAAAATAACAAATATTTTTTTCTAAGTTTTAACTTTCAAAATAAAAAAAAAAACACAGAAAACACATATTTTATTAACTATTCTATAAAATAATTTAAAAAAAAATTAGAACACAATTAAACAAACCCTCAATTTTTCTCTTACCTTTTTATTTTTTAAGTTTTCTCTATCAATTCATTAATTAATTCACTAATCCAATCGAATCAAACATTACCACAAGCGAGGACTTTGGCGTCGAGATCAATGTTATTAAACCTGGCCTGGTTATTGACCCGATCGAGGTACTGGGTCACTGGTTCAATCGCATGACTCGGTAAGTATATGTAAATCTATAATTTATATTAAAAAATTATAAATATACTTAAATACTTGTAAAAAAATGATACCAATTTCAAATATTTTAATATGAAAATAATAAATTACACATCATTGTCCAACAAAAGATCAATCAAACATATAATATTTGAGATACTAGTGTTTCAGGTTCAGTAAACGACATCTCTAACTATAAATCAAATCAAAATTCCCTGCATATTGCATAATCAAGATAATATTAGTGTTGTAGGTACATAATCTATATAAGTTAATAAGTTACAAATCACTCAAATATTTCAAAAGAAAACAAATCATTTGTGTTTGAGAGAAAGAAGACATTAATTTATGAAAATAAATTATTATTATTTTTTACAGACTGGGCCGGGTCACCGATTTTTACGAAAATCGGCCGGATCGCACTGGGTCACACCGGTTCTGTAACATGGCTGGTCCAATATGAAAATCAGACTGATTACACGACTAGTGCACCAATTTCTGGGTTAATCAGGCCGGATCGATCCAGTTTTTATAACATTCGTTGAGATTCGAGGATTGGTCTATGCTAAATTTTTATTATGCCATCATAGGTTCACCATATGGTCTATACCTCTATGCTAATTTTTTCAAGGTAAGAAATCATGCTTGTCTGTTGGATACATGTGTTCTGTATTTGTCCGTATAATAACTGTCAAGTCTGACCATGTGAGGGACGAAAATTTCTTTACTATTATAAGTGTATCGAACTCGATATTTTTATTTCAAAAAAAATATTTTAACCCATATTTTTTTTGTATAATCACTACAAGAAAAAATTTTATTAGTGACAAAATTTTATGAAATTTCGTCACAAATTCCTATATCGCACATTTATTTGCGACAAAATTTGATTAAAGTATCAAGATACCAAAGTACAAAACTCATATTCTAATAG